AGTAACGTTTTCTCCTTGCAAGAGGAGGAAATCTGCAGCACGTTATTTGAAGAAGAGCCGTAGCTCAAACGGGGGGGGGGGGGGGGGGGGGGAATCGTGTGGCTTTGCCTGCAGGAGATTATTAGTTCAAGCCCAAGCAGTGTCAGATGAGGTTTCTTTTTGGCTATCAAGCTAGTCAATACGGAACTCAAGCAATCTCTGTTCTAGCATACAGGAGGTCATATTGCTCTGCGGCTGCTGCCTACCTTCTCTTCCCAAGTACCATATTTTTCAGAGAATAAGACACACCAAGATTTTGAAGAGGCAAATAAAAAAAAAAGTTTTTGCAATCTGCAGACCTCCCCAAAATGGCCCATTTTTCACAAAAATTGGCCCTTTTTTGTAAAAAAAAAAGGGCATGAATAGCCTTTAGGAGGCTTGTAGAGTGCTCCTGGGGAGTGGGGCAAAAACAAGCAAAAAACGGCCCATTTTTCACTCATTTCTGCCCTCCCTAACCCCCAGGAGCACTCTATAAGCCTCCTAAAGGCTCTGCACAGCCATTTTGGTGAAAGGGGTGGGGTTTCGTGAGGCAGGAAATGCTGTATTCAGTGTATAAGACGCACCCAGGTTTTCAGCCTCTTTTTTGAGAGAAAAAGGTGCGTCTTATACTCCAAAACATACAGTAACTTTTATTTATTTTACTTTATTTGTCAGCAAGTACAAGGAAGCAAATATGAAAGCACATGAAAAAATGGCACAAATAAATGGATATAAATAAGCAAAACATAGCCATAAATATATAAAAAGAATACATATAAATGGGGACAGTAGGACAGGGATGGTAGGCACGCTGGTGTGCTTATGCACGCCCTCTTAGGGACCTCTTAGGAAACGCGTAAGGTCCACGGTAGACAACTTAAGGTCAAAGGTATGAGTGTTAGAGGAACAAACAACAAGATCAGGTAGGGTGTTCCACACATTTACTACTCTATTGCTGAAATCGTTTGTCCTGCAATCAAGATTAGAATGGATTACATTTAGTTTATATCTATTGACAGACCTTGTGTTATTGCAGTTGAAGTAAATGTACCGTATTTTTGGAGTATAAGACGCACCTTTCCCCCACTAAAAGAGTGAGGAAATGTTGGTGGGTCTTATACACCAAATGCAGCCATTTTTGGCTTCCCAGAGCCTAACCCCGCCCCCCTGTTTTTGCAAAAAATGGGTGAAAAACAGACCATTTTTCACAAAAACAGAGGCGTTTTTGCCTTGCCCCAGCCCTGCCGAAGCCTGCAGAACGCTGCTGGGGGGCTGAGGGAAGGCAAAACCTTTTTTTCTTACTTACCTCTTTGAAATCTTGGTGTGTCTTATACACCAGTGCATCTTATAGTCTGAAAAATACAGTAGTCATTAACAGGTAGGACGTTGTGGCAGATTATCTTGTGCTCTAAGCTCAGGTCGGAATGTAGACGGCGTAGTTAAACCTTCTTCCTTCCTTGCAGCTATGAAATGCCCAGTCAACAGTCACTACGAACTCTGCGCCCGGGTATGTCCCATCCGATGCAAAGAGGCAACTGGCATCACAAAGTGCCCCAACCACTGTGCTGAAGGCTGCCAGTGCAGAGAGGGCTTTTTTATGGCTGGGTACCACTGTGCTCCCATCAGTCAGTGTCGCTGCTTCCACAAAGGCATCTGGTTTAAGGCAAGTCAAAGCAGAAATCCTTACCATTGCAAAGTTTTGTTCTATTTCTTTAGCTTTTCTTTTCCTTTCCTTTTTTAGTTTGGGGCAGCTTACTTTCTTGTCACTGCACATCGTACAACGAAATGAAATGCCATCTTCAGGAGCCTCCCGCCACCACCGCTACCAGTTCGCCCGATCTGGGCCGAACCGGGACCAACCCACCTCTGCTGTAGACATAGCATTCTGTCTTCTTCCAGTTTTTCTCATAACAACCCATGCGGGATTCAGCCAGTTCGCACCTATTCGGGAGAACCGGTTGTTAACTTTCTAAGCGGCTGGGAGAACCGGTTTTTGGAAGAAATCTTCTTTTGGTTTTTTTCTGCTTTACAGGGCTAATCCTGTAAGGAAGGCAGGAAGGAGACATTCTGATGTTGTTTCTAGCCTAACCTTTATTGCCCTGCTTACAGAAACTGCCTCTCTGTTAACCCTTATTACATTGTCACAGCTAAGGCGAAGTGCCCATCGATGTGAGTGACATTGAGTTGGCCACGCCCACCCAGACACATGACCACTGAGCCCCACCTACCCAGTTGGTCATTAGGGCAAAGAACCAGTTGTTAAATTATTTGAATCCCACCACTGAACCCATGGAATAAGCTGAGCTGAATGGAAATGACTGATTGACTCAATAAAAGAACAGAGAGGAGACAGGAGTAATCACTACTCGATTTTGGCTTTCTGCCTTTTCCGTTTCAGTGAGGCATGTTGAATGCTTCTGCAGGGTGGATGATTTAGGAAACGGAGTAGCGTCTGCATAGTAGCAAGCTGTTGATTCTCCAAAGCAAAAGAACTACAGCTGTACAAAAGGGATCTTATGGATGAAGCTGTGTTGCCAGCAAAAAAAAAAATAGGTTGGCATTCTCACTGTTGCAAAAGAGTAAAATATTAAAGGATAAGGAGGAATGAAACTTGGC